AAGGTCGTATGGTATCATCATGACCTCGATCAACCATGTCAACCAAGAGATTCAGACGCGCCAACGTTCCTTACGGGGTGGCCACCACTCACTAGAAATAATACAAAGTATCGATTACCGAAAAATCTGACGTTGTCGGGCAATTTTGAAGGTCGTATGGTATCATCATGACCTCGATCAACCATGTCAACCAAGAGATTCAGACGCGCCAACGTTCCTTACGGGGTGGCCACCACTCACTAGAAATAATATAAAGTATCGATTACCGAAAAATCTGACGTTGTCGGGCAATTTTGAAGGTCGTATGGTATTATCAGCACCCCGATCAACCATGTTATAATGGAGATTTACAACAATCTCAATCAAATAGCTCCAAGAAGTGTTTCTCTCACCGCAACTGTTGACAAAGCTCTAGCATAACATGGTTGATTGGGGTGATGATAATACCATACAACCTTCAAAATTGCTCGAAAACGTCAGATTTTTCGGTAATCGATACTTTATATCATTTCAAGTGAGTGGTGGCCACCCCGTAAGGAACGTTGGCGTGTCTAAATCTCTATGTTGACATAGTTGATCGAGGTCATGATGGTACCATACGACCTTCAAAATTGCTTGACAACGTCAGATTTTTCGGTAATCGATACTTTATATTATTTCTAGTGAGTGGTGGCCACCCCGTAAGGAACGTTGGCGTGTCTAAATCTCTTGGTTGACATGGTTGATCGAGGTCATGATGATACCATACGACCTTCAAAATTGCCCGACAACGTCAGATTTTCCGGTAATCGATACTTTATATTATTTCAAGTGAGTGGTGGCCACCCCGTAAGGAACGTTGGCGTGTCTGAATCTCTATGTTGAAATGGTTGATCGAGGTCTTGATGGTACCATACGACCTTCAAAATTGCTTGACAACGTCAGATTTTTCGGTAATCGATACTTTATATTATTTCTAGTGAGTGGTGGCCACCCCGTAAGGAACTTTGGCGCGTCTAAATCTCTTGGTTGACATGGTTGATCGAGGTCATGATGATACCATACGACCTTCAAAATTGCCCGACAACGTCAGATTTTTCGGTAATCGATACTTTATATTATTTCTAGTGAGTGGTGGCCACCCCGTAAGGAACGTTGGCGCGTCTAAATCTCTTGGTTGATATGGTTGATCGAGGTCATGATGATACCATACGACCTTCAAAATTGCCCGACAACGTCAGATTTTCCAGTAATCGATACTTTATATTATTTCAAGTGAGGGTTGGCCACCCCGTAAGAAACGTTGGCGCGTCTAAATCTCTTGGTTGACATGATTGATCGAGGTCATGATGGTACCATACGACCTTCAAAATTGCCCGACAACGTCACATTTTTCTGTATTTGAAACTTAATATCATTCCCAGTGAGGGTTTTTCACCCCGTTAGCAATGTTGGCTTGTATTAATCTTGTCTTCATCAATTTTGAGGAGTCACTACCCTCTGAATAATTTTCCAGAAATGTTCTCGATGAGCAAATACTATATATTATTATGTATCAGACCTCAAGTCCATGTCTATATAGTTATTTATGTATAACTTTATAATTGGTGAACTTATTTGTATAGTTATATTACACATCGTAATGGATCCCTATATCAAATAATATTGATGAAATGACCAGTATTTTGAGTTCTTCTGTTAATTTTCATTCAAAATGAATTATCGGACACTATTCATCTGGCCCGCTAGAAATTGGCGAGAACGCAGATTTAAATCTGAGGCTAACTTCAGCCACATCCATTTAATCCATATGCAATCCAAATACTAGATGTTAAATGTCAATAGATTGCTTTGGAATGACATTACACACGCCATCATTTCAGATGATATTCTTCCTTTTTTTCACTGAATATGGTTAAATCACAAGAAAATCATATTTCTAGTTGACTCATATAATAAAAAAATGTGTCCAACATTGTGTGATATATATAATTTGTCCAATGATGGAAAAAGAAGGGCAAATTGTTCTAAATACGATCCAGAAGACAGGCGGAAAAGATGGTGAAATTTGTAACTTTATATAGTGAAATATCTTAATAAATAATGGTATGTTTACATTTTCATTATCAAATTCGTGTTTTCCAGACAAAAATACGTAAGTACCAAAAAAAATTTCGAAAAAAACCCATCGCATGATAAGTGCAGTTTTACCGAATATGAAATCGGATCCTTAAACAGCTTACTCAAAGTCCTGAATCTTGAGGATCCCTTTGGAGGCTGCAGTGTTATCTCTGGATGTTGAAGTGTGCTGATGCACCCCCCCCCCCCCGGGACAGATTTACGCGTTGCAGTGATAATCCAAAATTTGTAGACACTCACGAATGGTGTTTAGAAAGGCACCAAAATAATAATAAAATCGTTCCATATAACTTTCCCGTGAAACCGACGTAGCGAAAATATGACGAGCATATTCAAAACTATATTCCTGCGGAGTAAAGACGGTACTGATTCTATTCTATCTTTCGATGTTCCTTCAGGTGTGTTTGCGATTTCAATCGCTCGGTCCGAAAACAAAAAATTAGGTTGTTTTTCATTCATTTCGAGCTGTTTGAGGCAAGGTCGCGAGGAACACTAATATGTTTTTTCTGTGACGGGAAAAAAGTTTGGCATTTCATCTCTGTTGGCAGGTTATAAGATGTCACTTTTCATAAATTACTTTTTTCCCGTGGGAAAAAAGTGAGTACTTTTTTCCCGGATATATATCACATATATATACTCTGTTAATGGCTTTTGTTGTGCTATAGTTCCGAAAAATGAGTCAATAATACCGTCTCCGAGAAAGAACTGCAAGTCCTTTTATCTTCCATTCGACTTCGCGGTTTCGTATATTACTGAACAACTACTGAATTCGCAATTTTTTAAAATCAAATCACAGAATTGAACTGACAGAAGTGACATCAGATATTTGATTACTTCAAAAGAATGATAAAGATGTCTATAAAACGCAGGTGTCCCTACTGTTAAAAACTTGAAATTTCACGTCGATAATTTTCAGATTTCGAAATAATGTGATATCTTCTCAATATTGATTCGTCCTACCTTCTGTCACAGAAAAAAATAGTGTATTATACACGGGAAAAATATTAGATTTTAGCTCACGGTTTTTTGTCTCCCTCCGCTACGCGTCGGGAGACAACACAACCTGGAGCTAAAATCTACTACTTTTTTCCCTTGTATAATAAATAACTATTATTTGAAATCAGGAAAACGGTATTGCATCACCGGAAATAAAATATAGAGAAAAATAATCAATTGTTGAGTAAGGATTCTGAAACTCACAGGAGCGGGAGATATACTGTGAATAAACACTATGACCAAGTGGAGTCATCTCCAGTGATAAACACTGCTCGCCAACAGCCATGCAATCACCCAAATTTCCGAAACATGTTAGGTTGATAGGTTGAAAATCACTTCGGATTCGGAATCAGGACGTCCAGTTCACTCACTATATATATTTTTCGTGGAAAATTTTCAGTTCAGAAAAATTGAATTGTGTCTCACTTCTCTTGGAAGCACCCCCGTATCTCACGTAATTATTAAGGTAGGGTTCTGAAATTTGCAAGAGGAAGCGGAAGGGACGTCCTGATTTTAAATACGAAGTGATTTTCAACCTATCTTGCCTCCTTATATAATTTTTGTAGGTGGTTTCATGACTGTTGGCGAGCAGTGATATCTACCGCTCTTCCAAATTTCAGAATCCTTACTCAACAATTACGAGAGATACAGGGGTGCTTCCATTAGAAGTGAGACACACTGTATAATGTTCATCTTGAGTCAATTCTGATCTCCATATCTCTCCATCGAAAAGTTTGAGCTTCGAAATGAGCCTGACATTTCCAAAATCCGATGACGAGGAAAAAAGTTATGACTGAAACCCGAGGTGAAACCAAAAAGGTGAATTTTTTGAGATCACTCTGTAAATAAAAGAGATAAGAAGACAATTTGTGAACTGTACCAAGATGATGAGATCATTTACATGCCTCTACTGTGAAAGTTAGAAAAAAAGTTTGTCTTCATTTGGGATATTTTTGAAATTTCCGAAATTTTGTACAGTTTCAGGTAACACCCTGTAGCGATTTTATATGAAGAACCTTATGTTTTAAAGAATTACGAGATTACAGCTGAAGGGCTGGGCTAGCGAACAGTGTGATCCGAATTCAAATCGTTCAAATCAGAAAAAAGTTATTCATATTTCAACAGAGGCAAAATTTTGGGTTGCGACGAAATTAGTGTTGCGTAGTTTATTTTCATATTTAGGAATAAGTAGCACTCAACAATAAACTTCAGACAAAATCGTCTTAGGCAACGGATTTCAATTTGTATCGGAGAATTTTAGACTAACTTTGTATGACCGCATTTTAAAGAATCATTTTTTATATCAACAAAACCTAATCTCTTGAGTCCGAGTTGAGTGTCATTGCTAATCTTAACTTGACCTCTATCCACAGTTACAACTTGACAGTCTTGACACTAGCGACTAGCGTCTAGAAACAGGACGCATCAAATATTGCGAGCGAGTTGAGCGGAAGCAAGAAAGACAGAAAATGTCCGGCCTCGGGCGAGACGCGTGACAATATTTGGTGCGTACTGTCTCTAGTTGCTATCGATGTATCATAATTACATAACACATCGACAGTAAAATAATCTTAGCAAATACCGTTCGTTTCATTGATGATTATCGAAAAACCCTATTGTTTTTCGAAACAAATATACAACAACATAATTCATTTCTCAAGATCGAAAGAATTGGTATTTCGATAATCAATACACTTGTTATATTACAGCATACGATAACACAGGTTGTCTCTTGCTTTTCATTGATCAGATTATTTGATGAGTGGAATAGTCTCGAATATTCAGAACATCGTGATATTCCTTATGAAAATCTTAACTCGTTTCTTCAGCTGTCAGCTGCAGACCTCACAAAAACTGTCAAAGTCATCCTCGAAGTCATCTCTTACCTATCATGGCGAACAAATCGGACGTGTACGTGGACTCCAGCAAGGAATTTCCACTTTCCTTTTTTCCGTTTTTCCTTCTGTTGATCACGTAACTCACAGCCAGGCCGAAATAAGCTCCAAAAACGTGCACAAATATCGAGCCGCCTGCATCTGTTACCTACAAAAGGGTAGGGACCAAAAGTTCATTTATTGGATTTCCGGGCAACGTATACCCTACTGAAAGATAATAATCCCTCATGTCAGGGGGGCTGGAATTCGAACCTAATCATTGGGATCTCGTGAACCATAAGATATACAGGGTCGGTTAGATTATGGCAAAGTTGCGCAATTTCATGCCTAGCAAAATGCCGTTTTAAAACTTGGAAAAATCTGAATACTTTCGGAGATTCACGCGAAAAAGACCGAGTTGAAACAATTTTCATTTATTTTTCAGTGTTTTGAATAAATTAATCGGGACAAGTTGGCGTTTTGGAATTTGAAATTGGACCTTTCGTCTTCCAGAAACCATCATCTACCTATTTTTGTAAATACGGACCTGGATTATTTACTAAATTTTTTCAAACTTCTGGATGTCCCAACCCAAAAGCTATGAGCGATCATACATTTTTATTTTTGAATGTTTCGTTTACATAAATCAACAGATTCATATTGAATATCAATACATTCAAGACTATCCACCCTCGATAACTCGCAGAAAAATTATGTCACAAGAAAAAGACGAAACACGTCAATTTTTTGTTTGGAGAGGGACGGTGTTTGACGCAAAAAATATAATACGGACCTCAACTCTCTACTCCCCAGTCATAGTGTGTATTTTCAGTATATCTCTAGCCCCTGCAAATTCCAGAATCCTACTCAACAATTACGAAAGATCAACTAGGAAAAAGCCAAACACTCAAAGTCATTACCACAATAGTTCATAAGATGAACGAAAATGGTAGTTAACGAGAGAAAAACAACTACTTTTCTGGCTATATGCCATCTTATGAACTATTGTGGTAATGACTTTGAGTTTCTCTCTATTTGTAACCATTGCATTCCACTTTGAGTATTTGGATTTTTCCTAGTTGAAAATACGCCAGTCGGGCAATCAACCCTTTTTGCCTGAAATGGGATCTTGTTTTGGAGTGTTTCTTTCCTTGCCCGGTGGCGTTCGGCGTTCGCGTTTCATTTCGCGGACGTCGAACGCCTCGTAGGGTATAAATGCTGAGATGCGTTTACATTGGGTCAGGTTCGCACCAGATAACAGTCAAGAAGCTATCTGGGACAGCCCTGTACTGATGAGCCAACAGCTCGAAACCAGTCTGCAGGTAGTCAAGCGTTCCCGAACTTAGGCGCAGCTCAGCGTTTAGGAAGGAAACACTTGCGATTCTATTCGTCCATACGAATTATTGCATAGATTCCGGAAGGATGTTATCCCATGTTCTGCGTGGCATATAGCCAGGAGAGTAGTTGTTTTTCTCTCGTTATCTACCTTTTTCGTTCATCTTATGAACTATTGTGGTAATGACCCTTTATTTTTGATTACGAAAGATATACAGGAGTGCTTCCATCAGAAGTGAGACACACTGTATGTATCGAAAGCGCTTATCTTTAAGTGGATGATATCGATGATACTTCAGTTTCTCCCCTATTAAGGGGTAGAAGACGAGGTAAATATTTGAAATTCCAGAACGGACTCCGTCTTTCTCACTAAATATCTCCGCCTCGCTCGTTCGATAGGCGCATCTTATTACCGCGAAGAAGACATACGAGGGGATGTCCAAGATTATTCGAGAGCGAAATATATAGAAAAGTGAAGGGTTTTTAGATGCTGTGAGATAAGTTGCCGTGAATTTTCAAAGCTGCTCTTCTGTATGATAGTTAGAAGGGTCATTTTATAGCATGAATGCGAAACTGCTGTTTTTTTTTCTCACGATGATTTCATCAAAATTCTCTTGATCAATTCACCATATTTCTAGACTTTTGAGTGAAATATAGGAATTTCCACAAGGATACAAGGATTATATTGTTATTGAATATATTCATCAGTTTGCTGTATATTGACCGATATGGGGAAGATGCTACTAGAAACTATAGGACAAATTTGATATACAGGGCGATTCATGAAGAGACTCACATAGCCAAATGGTGAATAGGGGAAACAAAACAAGTTGAGATTCCATGTATGAAAGATTCTGTTGGCCTTCAATAACGAAGATATTATGTGAAATTGCCATATTATAATTTCAATGGCCGACATTTCAGATATGATTCATCCCAATTAGGCAGCGACGTTTCTTTATTCAAGATGGCATATTATAAAAAAATCAGATCCGAAAAATTCATGTTCTCTTGTTATATAGAAAAAGCTCATTTTATGATCAGTTTTCTAGGAACATTTCATCAGATTCAGGAAGATCAGACATAATGCCATAAGAACTGCTCTTCAATTTGCACGACACACTTTGATCGGTTCATTAAAAAATATTAAACAAAAACTTTCGAATGAATTTTCAATTTGAACCTAGCTGATAACTCTCTCATTTCAACTGGATTCATGTGAATTTACGATAGGAATCGACATATATATAAGTAGTTGATAAGAAACCACAGAACTGCTTTTTTGGTGATTTGAAATGTTCGTTTTTGATCGAAATCGTGACTTGTTTCTATTTACAAATATCAATGAAGTAATAATGAAATAGTATAGGCGGTGTTTTTCATCATTTGACGTGATGTGACTTCTGTTGATAATCCGAAAAGATGGGTACTGGTGAAAGTATGGCATGAAGATTTCACAAAAGTGTGCTGCTGGGCAACACCACGACGAGTGGTATTTCAACACAATTGAGTTAACAATGAATGCCAGAATCATGAGAACATATTCAGAACGGAGTTGTTATTTGCTAGAGAGAGAGAATTTTTTATAAATGAGCGATTCGTATTCTGCCGACAGATATAATTATTTTATGCCAAACTGACAGACTTTGCTCCGCTATCCATGGTTACATCTTCGAAAACACCAACACTGATAGACCAATCAGAATTGAAAGACCGCTTGTGTTTTCGCGATTACACACGTTGTGATGAGATTGATCAGATTATACAAGGTGATTCTAAAATAGGTGGTCAAATTTTGGGAGCATATAGAGTGGGTGAAATAATTACGAAAACCTCTGTAACATTTTTTTCTGAAGTGACCCCCAAGAAAGATACAGCCCCTCAAAGGGGGGCCTCGGAGAATGATTTTGTATTATTATCTCCAACACCTTGTATAATGAAAATCTGAAATTTTGTCTATCCGCTTACTATTCAGTGCCGGTTCGAATGGGGTTAATATCACCTCATAATAAAATACAGGGGTGTCTCAAAATAGGGAGGTAGGGGGTAAAAATAACCCCAACTTCATTGTTCATCGCAATTTCAGTTTTTTGACATGAAATTATGAAATCTCAGGGCTATTTACATGAAAAAGGTGCTCTTGTTGCATCTCGATAAAATTAACTGTTAGCGAATAAAATTTAAAAAAGCTTGTTTTCAACAATATTTTTCATTTTAGTATTTTCAATAGGATCAGACCATAATCACGAAACTCGTCGTCTATTGTTAATTCATCAATTCCGACAATGAATTCAAAATTTCCAAACCCCAAAAACCCTTACAAACCAATTTTGAATCGAATCGAACCATAATCACAAATCTGGTCAGCCACATTGGAGCCGCCATATTTTTTTCTATCAAAAAGTCCATAACGCGTTGTCAACTGTCATTTGCCAGATTCCAAGTTGATCAGACGATTAGGAGTAGGTGAAAATTCAGCTGCAAGATTTGAACTAGATAATTAAACTCAAGTGCATACCAAAATTGCAATTCAAATGAAATCTTGGAAGAATAAATTGTATTCGCTATTGGTTCAGTTTATCGAAATCGAGGCTGTATCTTTCTTGGGGGGCACTTCAGAAAAAAATATTACCGAGGTTTTCGTAATTATTTCTCTCACTCTATATACTCTCAAAGTTTGACCACCTATTTCAAAATCACCTTGTATAATAAATGAAATAAGTATATTGTTTAACGAGCACGGAAAGATAGTGATTTCCTACGAGAATAAAGTTTGCAGCATGAGCCATATTGGCGAATGCTGCCATAATTTTTCTACGGCTATAATAGATAACAGCGACATTTTCGATTTCTTCGGCTTGTAGCCATTTGATTTCCTGTCAAGTAATGCTCATCTATTAGACAGCGATGTCATTGCTTCACATTTGACATTCCATGAGCGATGAGATTTTTTTGAAATAATAACCCGGAAAAACCACCTTAGAGTTTTCCGATTTCCTTCATATTTTAATGACATGATATTGTTTTGAGTACAATAAAATGGCGAAATTTCAAGTCGATATGTCAAAGGGTTCCGGAGAAATATCGATTTATGATTACCACAGAGTACAGACAAACAGACAAACAGACCACACACAAAAACCAAAGTTGCTCGAAATTCGATGGGGATCATTTTCTCCAAAGTATAACTATACCTCTATATCTCGCTTAGTTTCCGAGATAGCATTTTTGGCAAGGCTGTAGTATACTCCACTATATAAGTATATATAGCGTAGTATAACCAATAGCCGTAGAAAGGTTTTACCCCTATACATATTCTTGGGTCTGTAAATCTTCTATGGTATTGAACATTGCAAACATTTGAACTTTCTCCATGTTCAGCATTTGAAAAATAAAGTGACATCTTGAGTGCAAGAATCACACGTCAATAAAAAATAGGGCACGGCTACTAATATCTATCTAGAATTTCGATCAAGAACTAACATTTCAAATCATCAAATAAATCAGTGTTAGTGGTACTGTGCTCTTTCTCGTTCGCTCTTTTCTGTCAATTTTTACCCAACAAAAATGTACAAAAAATCTATTTACATGAATCCAGTTGGAAGTACTGTTTACTTCATCAGTCAGGTCGAAATTGAAAATTCATTCGAACGTTTTTGTTTCATATTTCTTTATTGAACCGGTCAAAGTGTCGTGCCCTGAAAATGAAGAGCAGTCCTCATGGCATTTCGTCAGATCTTTCTGATTCTGATAAAAATTCTCGCGAACAGTGATCACAAAGTGAACTCTTTAGAAATCAGTAAAACATGAATTTTTCCTATGTCCGGATCTGGA